GAGCTGAATTCTGAAACAGCAAGAGAAAATATAACTGTCAAGATATTGTAACCCCTGCTGAATTTCTCTGTTTTTAGACAGCTCCTATCTCCATTCTGAGTGCTGGCTTATGATAATGCTCTCATGGAGTGTTGTTTCCATGAGTTCTCAATTAAGAGCTAGTTCCCACCTTACTAAAATCTCCTGCTGTGCTAAATACTTGTGTGTGTGCACACCCATGCATGAGTGCCTGTGCACAGTGTGTGTGTGTGTGTGTGTGTGCACGTTCATGCACATTTGCACACATATTTATCTCTCACTTCATACCGAGACCATTTTTCTCACCACCAGTGTATAAAAGCATGCTTGGTGCAGGCGCTCTTTGTTCTTCTCACCTGGGCTGGAGTCAGGACAGCCCAAGGCATTTGCAGTGTGACATAGAGAAGGAGGCTGTTGACATCTTCAGGTCTCTGACCGTCTGTAAAATATGAATGATGCATTCATTATAACTTTCAAAGATATGAAGACTTAATCCAAGTATTATGCTTATCACAGGGTCTAGCATGCTATATAGGCTCTCTGTAAGTATGTTTACTGTTATTAAAATACTGTCTATGGCTAAAAATAATATCTTAGCCTAACCTCTTTGATGAATAGCAAGAAAATATGTATAACTCTTTGACCGTTACCTATAATTTAAAATGAAGCATTGGTCTACATCTCAAAGGATTGCAGTGAATTCAAAGCCATGAAGTCATATAAATTCCACCTGACTTGTCATTTCTTGTTTCAATATGTTCTGATATTGGCTGCATAAATTCTGAGCATCTTTCCTTGTATCGTCCTCTATAACTCTCATTGGGAATCCAAAAATGATCTACCTGTTAACACAAGACCTCTGGAAATGTATGGGCTTCATGGCGCTTTCCTCATGAAAACCAAAAATGTTCATCAGCGGATGCTTAAAATTCTAGCTCCTTCAGAGAGAAATTCCTTCAGCACTTCAGAGAATTGTGCTCCTGAGGCCTGTGCATTTTTCTGAGTCACTTTATCATAATGAACTTTTCTCACTTCCTTGGTCTCTCTTAGGATGACCTGCAATGAACGTTCCTTACCCATTCAGGTTTTGTTTTTTTTTTTTTTTTTTTTTCACCATAAAAAGCCAAAATGACCTTTCTTATCTCGGAGACATCTTTACAACGTGTACAAAGCACTATGTTTACACAAGAATTTGTAAGTGTTAGTTCACAAAACACATATTAAAATATTTTAAGCTCAAAGTTTCTGTGCAGTATGCACTTGGTGATGTTATGTTTGCAAACGACAAATGAAACTTTATTTTATTATTTTTCAATTTTATTTTTCAAGATTATTTTGATAAATTTTAACCTTTAGTTAAAATATAATTGCATCATTTTCCACTTCCTTTTCTTCCCTTCCCTCCAATCCATGTGTGAGTATATAAATACAACTTGCTGAGTCCACTTATTGTTGCTATTGGCCACATCAGCTTTGCCTAAATGTGAGTGGGGATGTTGCATAAGTTAATAAAATATTGACTACCCCTAGCTCTCATTTTGTTTAATTTGTAATTCTAAGTATGTATGTCTGGGATTGTTCAAGTCCGTCTAGATAAAGAATGGCAGGGGACAACAAAAGTTGTTCTGATCAATATCTAAAAGGGGAGTTTTAATCTTCCCCCAATTCTTTTCCTCTGGAGTAGCCAGAAGGTAAGAAAGACAGCTCCTGAAGGTTAACAGACAATTCTCCGTGGATGAGCAAGGTGTTTTCTGCCATTACTTCACTGGCCGTTACTTCAATGTGTAAGAGTTTACCAGACTCATAAGCCTAGAGAAACTGCTGTGTGGGTAGAGCCTGGCCAGGGGCCAATCACATTCTCAGGGCAAAGAGATTACTGTGCGTATATCTGAGGTACTGTGTGTATATTTGAGGTCACTAGTGCATTGCCACAACAGTAGACTGGATTTGAGAACCTTTCCAGGCAAGTTAATCCCATACATTAACTGCTGTGACACTGGTACATGGAGAATCATTAGTGGATTGAAAAATCACATCCTGTTACACACCAGAATACATAAAAGAAGTAACTATTTTTTAAATGGTGGCTGTAATGATTGATTTTAATTGTCAACTTTATACAATCTAGAATCATCTGGGGAGGCAGTCTCCTAGAGGGACTATCTAAATCAGGTTGGCCTTTGGGTATGTCTGTGGGAAATGGTCTCGATTGCTTTAATCGATGTTGGAGTCAGCTAAGCACTCCCCTGGCTCCCTTTAGTAACTTTTAAACCCGAATTCTTGTAGCACTAAAGGAGATTGTATCGTTATGTGAAGCTTTGCTTTGAACACCATTATTTTTTTTATTCTCTCATATATTACATCCCAAACACAGCTTCCCTCCTTCCTCTCCTTCTAGTCCCCCACCCCCACCGCAGCACTGTCCTTCTGTCCCAGATCCACACCTCCTCCATTTCCCTTCAGAAAAAAGCAGGCCTCCCAAAGATATCAATGGAACATGGCATAACGAGTTACAAAAAGACTAGGCACAAAACCTCATGTCAAGGCTAGACAAAGCAATCCAGTAGAAAAAGGGTCTCAAGAGCAGGCAAAAGAGTCAGAGACACCCCACCTCTCCCACTGTTAGCAGTCCCACAAGAACACCCAGCCACACAACCATAGTATTTATGCAGAGGACTTAGGTTAGACCCATACACCATTAATTATTTTATTTATTCTTTGACACTTTCATACACGCCCATGATATATTTGACCATATGTTCATTTCCTGTTATTCTCTCTTATACCCACCTACACCCATTGAGCTGCTTCTTCTTTCTTCCTCAGTCCCCCTCCTACTTTTTTTTATCTGTTTCTGTGATCCACTGAGTTTAATTAGGGTTGCTCACGTAAGCAAGAGCATGTGGCTCCACTTCTTCCCTGGGATGCTGGATACCACAGGGCACCAAGCCGGGAGCACTCAGAGTCTGGAATGGGTGGGCTCTGCAGGATTCCAGTTCAGCTGGGAGTGCAGGGTGGGGGGAAGACCTTGGACAGTGGGGAGGGGCTTCTAGGGCAAATGCATTTAACTGGCTCTGGCTAAGATGCTGGCGATTCTCTATTTGCATCTAGGTGCCAACTACGTGATTGACCACTGGTTGGGGGGTCTCCATGCTACATGGTCAGGGGCAAGCACAGAAACAGGAAGGGAGTTTGTCCCACTCTTCCCATCTCAAGATGAGATTTTACATCTCAAATTTGAGGTATCCGGGGTTTGAACACTCTCACTCCAGTCCCTTACCAATTCTTCCGGTGGCAAGTATCCACGTGCCCCACAAGAATGTTGAGGTTATTCACTGAGTGTGGAAACCTCGTCAATGGTTATGTGACTAACAGAGAATGACTCCACCTCCTCCAGAAGCCTTTCACTGTGAATGGCTCCTTAGGGAGGGATGAGGCCTCATGAGGCCTTCTCCCATCCATGGTGAATTATTTGAGTCTTGTGCAGGTTAATCATATCCTTCATGAGTGCAAGGGCTATGACATGTGCAGAAGACAGTGATTCGCAGTCCTCCATTCCTTCTTCCAGCTTTTACATTCTCTCCACCTCTTCTTCCAGAATGTTCACTGAGGCTTGGATGTGGTCATATAGATGTCCTACTTGAGGCTACAAGTCACTGCATTAACTGTCACCCATTATTGAGAAACTTCTCTTACCAAGTGTCTTGGTTAGGTTGTTGCTGGGAAGAGACACCACGACCACTGCAACTCTTATAAAGGAGAACATTTCGCTGGAGCTGGCTCACAGTTTCAGAGGTTTAGTTCATTACCGTCGTGGTGAGAAACACGGGAGCATGCAGCCGGACATGGTGCTAGGGAAGGAGATGATAGTTCTACATCTTGATAGCAGAGAACAAAAGGGGACTGTGAGCCACACTGGGTGTAGCTTGAGCATAGGCGCCAAATGACTCACTTCCTCCAGCAAGGCCACACCTCCTGATAGCGTCCGTTGCTATGGGCCAAGCATCCACACACACGAGTCTATGAAAGCCATTCCTATGAAGGCCAAACTGCCATACCAAGGTTAAAAAGCAGCATTTCTCTGGAAATCCTCGGGTCTGATGTGAATTCTATGAATGCAATTTCTGTGATAGTACATGTAAGGTCTTATGTTCATCTTAATCTCTCTAAAAATGAAATATAAACCAGATTACAAAAACTTCCAAAAACATATGAAAAAAATTTTTTGTAAAATGTCAATAAAGCATAACAGTAAGATGTCTTAATGTTCCAGAAAAAAAAATACATTTAAAACTATTGGGCATATCATTCTAGTTCAGTCTGGAGGGCAATTCTAAAAACAGATCTGAGTCCCAGAGATCTGTGAGGCATTAAAATACTGAGTCATGCTTAACCATTCCATGGTGCACAAGGGTGCTGAGACCGACCACATGTTGGAATGTCTTAAAATTTTCTCTAGCTCAGTGAGCATCTAGACCGTGTAGACATGGGTCATAAGCATCCTGGATTCTTACATTTGAAAAAGGAGATCTGACTTCCTGTTTTCATTCCAGTGGTGCACCTGACTGAGGCCAGCATTTACCCACTACAAATCCCAGCTCCATCAAAAGCTCTTCTGAAATCATATCAGGATGAGAACTGCAGCACAGACGGATAATGAGTCTCTCATGTCATGTGACAAGCAGGAACTAAGGTCAGATAATACTGCAACTAAGGGAAAAATACAAGAGGTGATTCATGGGGAATACCAGGAAACATGAGAAAAGTGACATAATTATGTCCTCTGTTTTGGTAGTTATCACTAGAAAATGACAACCTATTAATTTGCATTTGTATCATACAAACAAAAACAAGGAAACAGTATTGTCATAATTACAGAAACCACTCTAGCTGAGTATAAAAAGGGGACCTGCAGGGAGGGGACTCCAAAACATAAATCTCACTCACTTGTAAATCTACTGAGAACCTTCATCTCTGACACCATGGTCAACTCCTGTTGTGGCTCTCTCTGCTCTGAGGAGGGCTGTGGCCAAAGCTGCTGCCAGCCCAGCTGCCTCCAGACCACCTGCTGCAGGACCACCTGCTGCCA